CTGCCATCACCACCAGCACATGCACGAGCTTCCCCGCATGGCAAAGCCCCATGTCCTGAGCTTCACCCAGCAGGCTTGTGCCGGTGGAGTCTCTGATGTCTAATAACAGGGCTGAGCCACTTTTCCCTGGGGAGAGACCTTTCCCCGACCTGGACAAATGATCACCCAGAGGTGAAGGCTGAGCAAGGCTGATTCGGCTTGAATGGCATCACCACCCCATGGGCTACTAGCCCATCTGCCTGGTAGGTGGCCCAGACCTCTGGCAGGGCCAGGGCGCCCAGGTCCCAGGGCAGAGGCACGTTTCCCCCTGCACTCCTGCACCTTGGCTTCTGCCAGCAGCCCCGAGGGCTTTGCTTGGGCTGGCAGACGGGGGGCATCCCCACTCCCCCCTACCGCCTGGGCAGGCTAGAGCATCTCGGCGAGGGAGCCGTGACGCCGCTGGGAAGGAGCAGAGGGACAGCGAAGAGCGAAGCTGGGGGCTGGATTGAATTACCCCAAGGAGGTGAGCCTAGAAAATGGGGTAAGATCTCCCCGAGGAAGGGCAGGCGTCGCCCAGCCTTTGCAGGGAACCAACCTGGCAAGTGCCGGGGTGGGGGCAAGGAGGGGGTGGCCTGGCACAGCCTGGGAAGCTCATCCCATCCCCACCCTGAGGCTCTTGGAGGGGAATCAAGAGGGCACAGAGCCTGGCTGGCTTGGGAAAAGCCACCTTGATCCTTGCCCAGTTAATTTCTTTTAGGTACCAAGGGCATGCAGGCGCATCACTGTGGCATTCGCCATCCGGAGCCACTCCACCTGGACACCACCAAGGACAGGGGTCAGCGTCACCATGGGCCAGTTCCTGAAGTAGTGGCGTGCAAAGATTGTCCTGGGAGAGGCATTGCTCTTTAACATCCCCTGCAGCCAGCCAAGCCCTGCCCCAGCACAGCTGAGCGAGAGCCATAACTGGTGCCTACTGGTGGTGCTACTGGGAGCTCCGGAGAGCCCAGCACTGCTGCCTCCCTCTCCCTCCTTGCTTCCCTGTCCCTCCTCACCCTCACTTCAGTGACACCAGGAGGTTTGCTTTCCTCTCCAGTGGTCAAGGGGACCTGGAGCAAGCAGAGCAATGGAGCAGCTCTGACCCATGCACCCTGCCGCTCCCGGCCTCAGCATCTCACCAGCTTTGGAGCTGCTGGGAAGGGCAGCATTTCTTTTCCCCCGCTGCCATTTTTGACTAATTGTGTGGCCTCCAAGAGGGCCACCAGAAATCTCCTACTCTGTGAGCCCCAGCAGCCACCACCCAGCATCCTGATGAAAAGTCCTCACCCCTTGTCTCCTGCACCCTGCCTCCCGCCCAGGTGATGGAGACCGAGCGGGTCAGCCCCAAAAGCCTGGGCACCGCTTTGGGTCTGGGACCTGGGTTCCCCTGCCCCTCTCCCAGGATGAATGAAATCCAGATTTATTTCATCCTTGCAGGTGCTACTGTTTCAGTGCTGGACCTGGCAGGGCTCAGCCAGCAGCGCCTGAGCCCACCCTCCCAGCAGCCCCAACCACTGGCAAGCAGCAACATGCAACCTGAAATTGGTCACTGGTGTCCCCCAGGAGGGGGACAGGCAGCGAGCTGGTGTCCAGCAGCCCTGCTGCCCTCCCACCCCAGTCTCTGCGGGGCCAAGATGAGCTTGGGCAGAGGTTTGAGAGCAGCAAAGCCTAACACAGGAGCCAGGCACGAGCTGAGCCCCCAGGAGCCACGAGGCCACGTCATGGGGCTCCTCCAAAGAGGCAAAACAGAGGGACAAGGCAGGCAGGTGCCAGGCATGGGAGCGGAGGGGCCCTGCTCTCTGAGAGAGGTGGGTGGTACAGGGGACAATGCCCCCATCCCTCCAAAAAAGAAATAGGCTTTCAAATATCCTTATGTAAGCAGGGAGCTGGTATTGCCCAGGAAACCATTGCCATGGTAATGGTAGAGGGGCTGGAAAAGCAGCTCGGCCCTCCTGAGAAGAAATTGCCTGGTTTCAGGAGGTTTTTGTCCTCAGCCCATTGCCAAGTGCCCGCCAGCCACATCCCAGTGCCAGCACAGAGCATGCCTGGCAGCGTAACCCCCCTCCGGTCCCCTCCTGCGGGGACTGCGATGGATGCACAGCCCCCTGCACAGCCACCAGCCAGGCGCTGCATCCCCATGGGAGGGGGGCACAGCAGAACCCCCAGGTCTGCTCAGAGCCCCCCAGCCCCCTGCACAGCCACCAGCCAGGCGCTGCCTCCCCGCGGGCGGGGGGGACAGCAGCA